GAATTAGAAATTGAATGGTTTTTAGAGATTTAATAATAACATCAACATGAAATAATACTAATCATGACATTATTATAAAATAATGTACAAATTGAATTAGAAATTGAATGGTTTCTAGAGATTTAATAATAACATCAACATGAAATAATACTCATAATGAAATTATTCAAAAATAATGTACCGATTGAATTAGAAATTGAATGGTTTTTAGAGATTTAATAATAACATCAACATGAAATAATACTCAGGATGAAATTAATCTAAAATAATGTACAAATTGAATTAGAAATTGAATGGTTTTTAGACATTTAATAATAACATAAACATGAAATAATACTCAGCATGAAATTATTCTAAAACAATGTACCAATTGAATTAGAAATTGAATGGTTTCTAGAGATTTAATAATAACATCAACATGAAATAATACTCATAATGAAATTATTCTAAAATAATGTACCAATAGAATTAGAAATTGAATGGTTTTTAGAGATTTAATAATAACATCAACCTGAAATAATACTAATCATGACATTATTATAAAATAATGTACAAATTGAATTAGAAATTGAATGGTTTTTAGAGATTTAATAATAACATAAACATGAAATAATACTCAGCATGAAATTATTCTAAAATAATGTACCGATTGAATTAGAAATTGAATGGTTTTTAGAGATTTAATAATAACATCAACATGAAATAATACTAATTATGAAATTATTCGAAAATACTGTACCAATTGAATTAGAAATTGAATGGTTTCTAGAGATTTAATAATAACATCAACATGAAATAATACTCACCATGATATTATTCTAAAATAATGTACCCATTGGATTAGAAATTGTATGGTTTTTAGAGATTTAATAATAACATCAACATGAAATAATGCTCAGGATGAAGTTATTCTAAAAGAATGTGGCAATTGAATTAGAAATTGAATGGTTTTTAGAGATTTAATAATAACATCAACACGAAATAATACTGAGCATGGAATTATTCTAAAATAATGTACGAATTGGATTAGAAATGGAGTGGTTTCATCGATTTGGTGTCGATGTCAGCATGAAGTTGTGCGTATGATGTGGTAATTCGGTTACTAGCGTCATGCGCGGGTGACATCGATGGTTTTTCGTAGTTCTTGGTAAGTACGTGGCAAGTAGAAATTCGGGAGGATCTATATCGTTGATATTGGTTTCTAGAAAAGATGAAAGTCACAGAAATTTATGTCCAGGTTGGTTTGTTGCTTTGTTGGAATGTGTTGGAGTTTTTTTATGTGTATTATTTTTGTGAAAGGTGTGTGC